AAGTATTGTTAAAATTCACACACGCAGAATAACAACAATAAAAACAATTAAAATGGACAAAAGACATTTTACTGAAGGAGAATCCCAAATGATTTACAGACAAATGAAAAGATGCTTAACTCCATTACTAATCTGGGAAATGAAAATTTTAAAAAGACAATAGCATCCCATTTCACACTCATGTCACACTAAAACATTATCAAATGCTAGCAAGAGAGTAGAATATCCAGAACTCTATATACTACTAGTGGGAACTATATACAGTACACTGGTGTGCTCAACTTACATCTAATAAAGCCATAGTTATGCATACTCTAGGAGCCAGCAATCCCACTCCACATTTTCCTAAAGAAAATTACACATGGGCACCAGGAACCACATACAGAATATGTGTAGATGCACTGTTTATAGAAACAAAAACCTGGAAGCAACCCACATGTCCAACAGAGGGATGGACAAACCACAATAGAGAATGCCAAGGAGACTGAATACATTTCAGCTATGTGCTACCACATGGAGGCATCTCAGGAATCCAATGTTGAGGGCAGAAAAGTCACTGGAGAATACGTAATTGGAATTGCTCTACATCAAGTTCAAAAACACATGGTGGGGGCACCTGGGTGGCTCAGTGGGTTAAAGCCTCTGCCTTCGGCTCGGGTCGTGATCCCGGGGTCCTGGGATCGAGCCCCGCGTCTGGCTCTCTGCTCAGCAGGGAACCTGCTTCCTCTTCTCTCTCTCTGCCTGCCCCTCTGCCTACTTGTGATCTCTATCTGTCAGATAAATAAATAAAATCTTTAAAAAAAAAAAAAAACACATGGTGGTAAACAATGCATTGTATAAAGAGGCAAGCCTATAGTGATATTATAACAGGAAGCAAGAAAACAGTCAACACAAAATTCATAATAGTAACTCTGGAGAAAAGGAAGTGGTAGGAAGAGGAAAAAGAGCTCCAAGGTCATCAGTAACCAGCCGAATTTAGGATAGAAGCTGCCCCCTGTAGAAAGCCTTTCCATCACCTGCCATGTATTGTTATTTAGAGACTTGTCACTAATTTATAGCACCTGTCTCGTCTTTGTGGGCACCTCAGCTCATGACCTTTGCTTTAAAGCAATGGTTCTCAAAGTCTGGTTTCAGAACCAGCACCTTCAACCTGCCACACCTGCAGGTGTTTAAACCCCTCTCTAGACCTCCGATATACAAACTCTGGGGGTGGAGGCCCACAGTCTGTGTTTTAACAAGCCCTCCGGGGGATTCTGATACTCAATTTGAGAACTCTTGCCCAACCCCTGGACCTCCCTCTCTGGCTGTAGTTCCATTTTGCGTCTTTTTCGGTCCTGCCATAAGAGGGCAGCACTTTCTTCTAATAGAAGCTGTAGTCCTTTCCAAGACCCAGCAGGACCCTCACTGGAAGGGAGCCTCCTCCCATTTTTTTTCTTGCTCAAGGCCGTTTTAGCCATGGTGCTGTGACTGGTTATCTAGGGCCAGAAGTTGACATCACAAGCTCCATGCAGGCCCCACAGGGCTCTTGTAGGAGCTTTTTCCCACAATGGAAATAGTAACATTAACAATAAAGAGTATCTATCTTAACTATTTTTTTTTTTAAAGATTTTATTTATTTTACAGACAGAGATCACAAGTAGGCAGAGAGGCAGCAGAGAGAGAGAGAGAGAGGAAAGCAAGCTCCCTGCTGAGCAGAGAGCCCGATGCGGGGCTCGATTCCAGGACCCTGGGATCATGACCTGAGCCGAAGGCAGAGGCTTTAACCCACTGAGCCACCCAGGCGCCCCTATCTTAATAAACTATTAAGTCTACCTAACAGCCAAGGACGTTTAAGGTAGGCTGGGAAACAGAATGCAGTTACCTTTTTGCCTCTGCTTCCAGAACACTGTCATTTCTCCCTTACTGTAGCTTTCACAGTAGGAGACAATTTCAGAGAAGCCCTCTTTCTCGGCTCCCTAGTACTTCCAAGGCTGAGAGAGAGAGAGAAAGACTGAGTCCCCTTCTCTGTCCCTGGAGCCCTCCTGCTGATCTCAGAGTCTGCAGGAAGTGAACAAGAGTAAAATGAATTCTAATGCCCGTCTAAAATGCCGGTGCTTCATCTGATAAAGTTCTCCTAGCTTCAGACATTTTTTTTTTCTATGTCAAGCTCTTTCTAACCCCAGCTATCTTTTATGAATCATTCGAGTGCTACATACCAAATATGAACACATACACCCTCTCCTGAATTTGATGTCACTGATGTCAGTTTAAGGTTTGAGAAATAGTGCATACTGGAAAGTCTGCGTCACTGAGCCTTACACAGGACCATCACCCTACCCTTACTGACAGATACTGGTTTTGGAAATATAGGCACTAATTCCATGAAAAGGTGGCCTTTTCCTGATAGACAGGAAAAAAGTCCAATTTTTCTGGAAGTGATAAGTTACAGTGGACAACATACTGGCTAAACCTGGATTCGAATCTTGCCTCCGCCCTTTTACTAGATGTACAACCCTGGGCAAGTCTCCTACCTCTGTGTCCTTGTGGGCACAATCAAGACTAAGATTTTTGTGAGGATTTCTGTGAGGAATAAATGAGATAATAATATAAAGCTCCTGGCATGGTGTGTGTCACCTACTGAGAAGAGAAGGGACATATTCCCAATGTACTTCAGGAAACAGACCCATGTGTGAAGTACACTGGCAAAAAGGAAGAATGAGACATGAAATGTGAGAGGCACTCAAATAGTCCAGGTTAGAGATGAGTTAGTACACTGAGTAGGGAGAAGTTGTAAGTTAACTGGTCAAGTAAGAGAGGAAAGAAGAAGGTGAAAGAGAAGATGGCATGAGGACTGTCATCTGGGGAGGGTGAATGACAGGAGTACCATTGAGAAAGAGGATGAACGTAAAATCTTAAAAAATGAAGGGGGGGGTGGTGTGTGCCTGGGTGGCTCAGTCATTAGGCGTCTGCCTTTGTTTCAGGTCTTGGTCTCAGATTCCCTTCTCCACAGGAAGCTTATGTTCCCTGTTCCACAGGAAGCCTGTTCTCCCTCTCCCACTCCTCCTGCTTGTGTTCCCTCTCTTGCTGTGTCTTTCTCTGTCAAGGAAATAAATAAAATCTTAAAAAAAAAAAGAAAAAAAAAAGAGGGTGAACAAAGTTGGAGCAGAGGAGAAATATTACCGGAAGGGAAACTTACGCCATAAAGGGCAAGGTATCAACATGAGTAAAAACAGAAGACATTAGAAAATGCGGGAAAAACTGTGTAAGCCATCCAGACTTTATGGAAGAGAAACAAAGAAAATAGCACAAAAGCACCCTCATGTTTCAAAAGTGAGAGGATCACGAGCACAGGAAGAGTGGAACTGAATTGGATGAAGGTCCAAAGCAAGATTATGCCACACAGATGTCACTCCCTCTTGCTCTCGTGTCAAGATTCCCCTCCCCCACGTGTGCTGATGTTAGAGGCAGAACCACCCCAGCTCAGCACCCACTTGGTGAAGGTCCTGTGAGGAGCCAGTAGGGACAGGGGGATTTTGCCATCACAAAGGATGAGGTCAGAAAGGAAAGAATGAGTTCAGCGGAAGCTCAAGCCAATCTTTGACCAGGGCTATAGACCTGTCATTCCTCTTTAGGACTCTGGTTGAGTCACTGCAGGGGAAATGCAAACACATTGGAGAAGCGTGGAAGAATTGTCCTTGGCACCTGTGGGATGGGGCTTGGGATCGCTCGGTGGTGGTGTCCCTACTGGCCAGCTCGTTGTTCCTGCCACTTACTGAAACCCGAGAGGGTTGGCAAGGTGTGGTGGGAGCAGAATGGGGAGCCAGCAGTTGGCAGAGAGGACGTTGTTCCTCGTTAACATGTTCTAACCATCCAGAAGTTGGGGACCCGGAAATAAAACACAGGAAACTCATCAGAATCAGAGCTGTTTGAGAGTCATGCTGAGGTCCGTGCATCCTAAGTTAGGATACCTTCTTTGTGAACAGAGAAGGGGATCCTCGTCCACTGCTGTTTGACAATAGTATTAAAATCTAGACTACTCGGGATGGTTAATGTTTTTCATATAAATGATTAGGCAAGGGTCTTTCTAAGGAGTATTAGCCTGTTTTGCTATCATAATTAACATGGAGTGTAGCTGATTCACCTTCTCTCCTTTCTTTTTTAATTACATATAAGAAAATCCACTCTTTGTGGGTACAGTTATGTGAGTTTTCACAAACACAGAAGGCCCTGTAACCAGTACTGCAGTCAAGATACACAATAGTCATATCACCAAAACCTCTCCTCATGCTGCTCCTTTGCCCTCAAATTCCTTACCCTCGCCATCCTCCACAACCAATGCTCTTCTCCTTCTTCTTTTGACAACCAGTTGAGTAAGGCCTGAAATTTCTTTATGATTTGCTGGTATAATAACACCAACAGCAGTCATGGCAATAGTTAATACATATAATGCATTTCCAATGTGCCAAGCACCATTTGAGACACTTTATAGATGAGAAAACTGAGCCTTTGAGAACTTCTGGAAAGGGAAGAAGAGTCTTGTCAGGGTCACAGTGTGGCAGCCCCAGTGCTTACATTAGGCCTGCCTAACTCCTAGGTCCCTTTTTTAAACTCTATCTGATTCTGCTTCTTTCTTCGAAGTAGAAGGAATATCTACCAATTTGAGAAAGCACAGTTGAGACCCAAGATCGCTTTACTCTAAAAGTAAACAAAACTTACGTAAGAATTTGGTTAATTATACCAATAGAGCAATAATTGAATTGGTGTAAGAGAAAATGAAGCCAAGATCCTAGAAGACCTTCCGGCAATCTTTGTGACATGCAATGAAGATAAAGCCCAGATAGGTAACTTCCTCCCTGATCAACTTGATCAGGTTTGTAAAGCAAAGCTGGAAAGCTTTCCTGATCAAATACTGAAACGCCATTTTGGGTGAATGCTCTGAGCAGCAACTTCCTCTCAAATTTACTAAAAGAAAAAAAAAAAGTGAACTGGGGTTTTTAATCTTCATCTTGTGGGTATTTCAGGTTGGAGTCCCCGACCCGGTCTCTGGTGATGGAGGCCCCCAAAGGAGTGGAAATTAATGCAGAAGCCGGCAATATGGAAGCCACCTGCAGAACCGAGCTGAGGTTGGAGTCCAAAGACGGAGAGGTAGGGGCAAGACAGATGCAGGTCCGGAGAGACACAGAGCCAACGAGCCAACCTTCCCCACAACTTCTCCAGACTCCCTTAGCACGGAAGTTGATCCTACCTTTCTCACAAGAGGAGCCAATCAGAAGGTTTCATGTCTGGAGCAGATATGTTAAACAGCACAGTTGTAAGCCTAACCCACTACATGTAAGAGTGAGGACTCAGTATTTGTGAAGTGCTGAGGTAATAGTGTATACTACAAGGACAGAATTACGCACTTGGCTATGGAGATGAATGCGGTTTCTGAATTCTCCTTCTCTCACCCAAAAGCAAGATTTAGGTAACCAGCCTAATGAAGCTATATGTCACATGTACCTGGCTCAAGCTGAACGTGATTTGCTTGTAGTCCTTTTTAAATTTTACCTTGTATGTTTCTAATTGAGAATGGAGAGTGGGAGCCAATAGCTATCCCCAGTCAGGACAAGGCAAAACTAAAACAGGGTAGGAGCAGGCAACGAGAGGAGGGAGGACTGCTCATATTCCTTCTTCTGCCCAATATAATCCCACTTTGGTGAACAGCATAGCTAGCTTCTTACACTTGCGTAGACAAGGTCAGCCAAACCCCCAGGAGAAGAGGATTACACTGCAGACTTTTAAAAATGTCTTCATTATGTTCAGAAGTGAACCTTTCAGTTTAAGGGTTTTTAAATGGAGGAAAAAATGGTATATATTTTTTAAAGCAAACCTGTGTTCCACTTTTCATATCTGCTCAGAGGTTATCCATCTCCACCTGCTTGTGTGCACCCAATCCACCTCTTGACTGGTCATTTGCTGTATTTGTTTTAAAAGAGCTAGTCAGATAAAGCATTCACTTATCAAAATGGTTTCTTCAAACAGCCCCAAACTCCAAATCACACACATTTAGAAATAGTGACTACATTACCTACGCAGATTATAGCTCTCAGAATCCAGATTCCGGAGGAACTGATTATAATCTTAACAGTCATTTAAGACTGGAAAGTACGGCATATTCGCAGTCTTCCCAGCACACAGACCTAGCTGAGGGTCTGAAGATCCCAGAGTAAAGATACGGTTAACCCGGCCTTTCCAAATTCATTTCACTCTGGGATTCAATTCATCATCTGCATGACATACCTTTGCACACGCTTTTGCTAATATAGACCAGCGCGTCATTGTCTTGGTAGAACATAAGCTTCTATGAGGGTAGAGATTTTATCTGTCGCGTTCAACGCTGAATTCTCAGTGCCTAGAATATTCATCACATAGTAGGTGCTCATTTAGGTTGAACATTCATCTCCTGTCTCTGAATGTCAAGAAAACAGATGGCAGCTTCTAACTACTCTTTCCTTCCTATTCGCTCTCTCTAGATTAAGTTAGATGCTGCGAAAATCCAACTACCTAGACTGCCTCACGGATCCTACACACCTACAGGAACGAGGCAGAAGGTCTTCGAGATCTGCGTCTGCGCCAATGGGAGATTATTCCTGTCCCAGGCAGGAGCTGGTTCCACTTGTCAGATAAACACAAGTGTCTGCCTTTGAGAGACCATCCATAGTGGACGTTGTCGGCAGCAGAAAGGCCGTTTTTGGCTTTAGACCCTGGCTGCCAGCTATTTTTACTAGAACACAGAAAGCCTATCAAAGACCTTGTGCGTGTGTGTGTGCGTGTGTGTGTGTGTGTATGCGTGTGGGTGGATATAAATATATATAAATATATATAAATAAATATATATATATCCTCTGTATAAAATGAGGTTTCAGTACAAAAGGAACCATGGGTGACCCTGTGATACACCGTCATTTCCATGTCAACCCCACCACCTACATGATAAGATCAAAAACACTGATGCAGGCCCAACATTCCTCACACCCTTCCAAATCACACAGTGTATCAGACACCTAACCGAATATTCACCAACATGTTTGAGGAGCCACGTGTCTTCCCCTGTAGTGTCATTACAGGGCAGTGATGGCGGGAATCTCCAAGTCACCCTCGAGCAGTGAGACCCTTGTATTGAAATAGACGTTTCGTTTCCATTTTTACTTTTAGGAAGGCTGGCCCACATCCCGCCTTTCAAGCGAGGGATGGGGCAGTGCCACAGAAGTCAGCTGCAGGAACACAAAGGGCTGTTCTCCCTTCAGGGCCAAATGTACTGGGGCTTCTGTAGTTGCATGAATGTGGAGGATGAATTTCAGCAAAGTTTAAACTGCTCACCCAACTCCTGCTAGCCTCCTTCAAAAATCACATATTATCCCACAATCAAAATAGGAGTTGTAAATCAGCACAAAATAGGATAACAGCTGCTCCTCAGTCTGCTGGAAGCGACTCCGTGGCCTGACAGGCAAAGAATACATGGGTGGTGTGTCTCTGTTTGAAGGACAAAATGGCTCCAAGTCTGTTTCATCCTCACTTCTGACTTTATCCAGCAGACTCCAGCCCCAAGTGAACGGGTCCATCAAAATCATTAAGAGAAGAACCCCTACCTGAAGAGAAGCCATTGAGGGACAGAAACCTAATTAAGAACAGCATAGAAAACCTAATTAATTTTTCTATGTATCCTGGGATTGGTAGGTAATTTGGAGACTCGCCTTTTCTTTCTAAAGGCATGCACAAACTCTGGCTTCCATCTTCTTATATATATGTTTGTTGGGCTATTCATATTCCTAAGGCCACCATTATGTTTTCTCCAAGAATAGTGACCCAAGAATCACAGATCTGAAATGCATGCCCCCAGAAATGGTCACTGGAAATTAATATAAACTGAGTCACATGTCTCTCTCAGATTCACTGTGTTTCCATGGCCCAGCAGCATCATGACTCGATACGTGGAAGCACCTCCCTGGTTCCCGCCATCAGCTACCTCTCATCCCTCCACCTTCATCATCGTGCTCCAGGGTCACCCTGGCCAGCTCTTGTGCTGGGACAAGGGATTACACCATCTCTGTTCAAAGAGGGGGAAATGTGCCTATGCCTTAAGTCAATGCACTCAGCAAGGAGAAGCACATCCTGTTTATCTTGTTGTTACAACTGTAGTTTATTTTGGGTGATTGGAGGGGAATGGTTCAGTCATGAGTGGGCCTCTTAAAAGCTGGTAGACAAACCAAGTGGCTGACAGAAGTGGTCTCACAGGAGCCCAAATGGAGTCATAACTGCTTAGACAGTACCGGACGCCATTTGCCAAGCAGTGGCCCCACGATCCTAAATGAGGTTGTATTTGTAGGCCCGAATGACATTTGTGTTTTCTTCAAGGTTTTAATTTTTCTTACTTCACAAGTGGGGGAAGATTTGTCACAGGAAATGAATAACAGATTTGATATTTTTGAGAGGACACTCCAGCATCAGGCTGAGGTTTGCATACAAAGGATATAAAAGTAAGCTGTGTGTTGCTTAGTCACTTAGGAGCGGGTGGGGGCCAAACAGGGGGGAGGTTTCCTAGCCTGACCAGCAGCTCTGCTGGCTTCCAGACCCTATATTCCCTCCAGTCACTCCTCCTCTGTATCCCATGTAGAAGAATTGAGCTGTTCAAGGGCAAGACTACTTAGTTTGTAGCAGTAGAAGCTAAAAAGGAAAACCCTAAGAAGGTGTCAAGTTGCTTTGGATTGGCATTATTTATGTCCTGTAGAATCCTACTGCTAGCATCTACATGTACTACATACAGGGTTTTGCCAAATAGGAGAGCCGCCCCCCCACCCCCACTTGGCTACGAGGAACATCTTCCCCATGTCATTCAGACAAACAGTAGTAGCCGTGAGGCCCTCTGTGGCTAAATACCTTAACACAAAATGTTTTTAAGCAGACAGACCATCTTTGCATTTTGCCATCCCAAGTACAGAATCTATGGATGACAAGAAAACAAAAGGCTCCCTAAACCTCTTTCCTCTGATTTTGTTCTAATCATCATGGGAAAATCTGAGATCAGAACCTTGGGGATTTTATGCCAATAAAACATAGTGATGTGATCCCTTGCAGAATTCAGTCCTAAAGGGAATCAGATCACAAATAAGAAAAAATAATAATAATAGCAAACCAAGAATGAAATCAAGCACCTATGGGGGACAGACATGATAAAAAAAATTCTGATTTTCATTTGTACTAACTGACTACAAAATACCAGGTAATAGGCAGGAAACCTGGCATGGACTAAATTATGTATTTCAGTTCAGACTACAGAAATCAGTAAAATGCATTCAAAGTTCCTCAATGTACATTTTGTTCTCCCAACTTCCTCCAACTAGAATATTTGTCCATGGTTATAAGAGAAAGTTTTAATTCTGGGGAAAAAAAACCTTTTACATTAAAATCCGATAAACTTTCATTTTAAAAAGTGAGATTCTTTCTAATCTTTATATAATATCTTCTAGAAAATCACACTCCAGCATATTAAACAGCAGGTGGCGTGACAAAAGAGTTCAAGTGAATCAATATTCTAGAAGTTCTAGTATGCTAATAGTCTTCAGAAGATTTTTTTTAATTAAAAAGTGATCTCCAAATATGTTTAGCACTCTGTTCTATTTGTTATCTGTTCAACAAGTCTTAAAAGTTCAGTCTTAAACTACTAGCATATGAGAAAGGTTTTCAAAAGCTCTTACGGTGGCGTCTCTGCAGGTGGAAACTTGGTATGAGGCTTTCTAATTGTTCCTTTACCCAAGGGATAGAGCTTATAAACTTGAATTGGCTTTAACTTCCTTTAGGTCAGTTTCCTTTGGATGATTTTCATTGTATATCCAGCAACCATAGACCAAAGACTGCTTAAAGTTTAATTCTAGAGCAGGGGTCAGCAAACTGGGGTCCCTAGACCAAACCTGGCTCATCACCAGTCTTTGTAAATAAAGTTTTATTGTAACACAGACACATCCATTCATTTCCATGTTGTCTGTGGCTGATTTCATTCTATAACAATAGGGTCAGGTAACTGTGCCAGAGACCTCATGGCCTGCAAAGCAGAAAATACTCTTTGGACCTTTCCAGAAAAGTTTGCTGACCCCAACATAGAGGTCATTTGTGCTAGGTGTTGGACACAGCTGGAGGGAAAGCAAACTCCACAGTAGCGTGGAGTCACCCTACATTTCTGTGTGTGCTTAGGAATATAAATTCTTGCCTAAAGAAGAAGGTTAACCCTTATGTTTTGAGTAAAAGTGATCCACTTGTCTGAGAAATGCAGGTTCACAGGATTCGTGGAAAAAGGGAGGGTGGAGTCAGGGGAAGACTTCGTGCAAAAGGAAAACTGTGCTCCTCCAATAGTTTTTTTCCTTAGGACCCTTAATTAGAGAATGGTTCCTTGAGTTGGTATCTTGGAGGGCCAGAAGAAAAGCAGAGGTCCTATGGTTTAAATTTAGAATTTCTAAAGGGACTGTTTCTGCAGTGTCACAGGTTTTCCAACTCACCATCACATATTCCAGAAAGATGCTCATTCTGTGGTCCTCTAGAGAGTATCTTTGACCAAACGTGTCTTGTGGACATCCATCGATCAGTTATTTACACCTCCAGTGCACTCGCCATTCCTGTGTCCCCACCTGGCCTGAAGGGTTGGTGGGACCAATAAATAATATTGGAAGAATAATAAATATGGGGGGAGGAGAAATACTGAAAGCAGCATCTTAAAATATGTAGAAAGAGAAAATATTGTAAACATCTTTCATGAAGGTGTTTAGTGGGGAAACCAAATCAATGCCAGTTTGATTTTGTTTCCAAGAATTTGGGTCTTTTTTATTTGGTGTAGCAGGAGCGCAAAAAAAAAAAAAAAAAAAAAAAAAGACCTATTTTGAATTTTTGAATTCCAACATCTCTGCCTCTGTGTCATAAGACAAGTTCCTACCAGAGATCTGTTCCTTCAGTCAACAAATCTACTGCTAAATCCATTCTTATATTACTGAAACAGCATCAGTAATGAATGAGTCTTTGTAAGCATGAGCATTCCTGTCAGAAAAGAAAGATTTTTTTTTTTTTTTTAATGAAAACAACCAGGAGCATTTACCAGACCCCAGTCAACATCACTTAAAGAGCCCTTCTGCATTTTATCTGGATTCAACCAAAAGAGGATTAAATCGGCAACACTGCCCTCCGCAGAAGCAGCTATGTGAGAATATCTTGCTTTTGTTGATTTTAGGCAAAAGGTAGCATGATGTTTGGACCAAATTGGTGAACAGATCCCTGTAAGCTCTTGATTCTTATTTTTAAAGGCTCTGTGAAAGGTGAGAATCTCATTGAAGTCAGTTGTGAACAAAACAAGATGGTTCGCTCTCTTTCCCCTGCACCAGGAAATCTTAGGCCCCAAAAGGATAATGAAGCACCTCCTAGAATGATACGTTTGCATGCATACGTGGCCCACTAGCAGGTGGGGGGTGGGGGTGAGGTTATAATAAAAAAACCACCTTAGAAAACAGGCCTTTTATCTCAAAGATAAAAATGTCTTTCAGTCTTTCATCACTTTTTCCTCAGGGGAAGTTTCCCCCACTTCCACCTTATTTCCATTAAAATCGTCAAAACTACTGCATTGGGATGTCAGATGCATCTCTTTCTTTGTGGCAATCTGAATTTAAAATTATACAGTTGCCTCTGAATTTCTCATTCACAAAGCTAAACCCACTGATAAGAGATAAAGCAGTCTGAAGCCTGCTGCTTCACCCAGCACACCATACCACACACATTAGCCCTTTCAAAAGCAATGGGAT